CGCTGAATTCTTGCAGAAACATGTCTTTCACTCGTTAATTGCTATGTTTTTCGCCAAAATAGGTGATATTGAGATTTTTTGATTTCACTTTGTAATTATTGTAAAAATCGTATTTTCAGGTGGAGTAAAAGGTAAGTTGGTAAGTATACAATAATTACAAAGTACAAATTATAAAAATTTTCAATTTTTCATGCAATTTCAAAAAAGTGAAAGTGAGACATTTTTTGAACAAATGAAAAAAAAACAATTTTTAGCGAATTTTTTCCCATGTTCTTCTGTTTTTGATTGCATATCAAATTTAAATGGAAACTGCCATAAGTCTTTTTCAAAACCAAAACATTGAGTTTCGAAAAATCAGTAATATGTCGTTCAAAATATAAAAGAATATGGAATAATAAAGGAAATGTACGAAATCGAAAGACCTGAACAAAATCACATCACAATAGAACTTAACTGATACTTCTAGGAACCCCCAACCAACATTTTAGTTCATTTCATCGAGTGCCAGCAAGCCAGGCGAGGAGATGCTTTGCGGCGGCGTGTAAACCGGTGCGCTATTGCAGCAACAAATTCTTCTGTTGTTCTGTTATATAAATATCTTCTAGTTATTCTTACGTGAAAATGTTCATAACTAATTTAATTTAAAATTATTTTTCGATACGAGGAGCCAAGATTTGATTTCACTGGTGTTTGGTATCCTTAATTTGGGGAAGATAATCTGTAACAGATTACAGAATCATCAGAATTAAAAAAAATCGCCGTAGATAAAAAATTCTGAAATCGAGGGAAACCCCATTTTCTATTATGGTGACAAAGAGTATCCAAAACAATGGAATTTTTTGCATTGAATTGTTCGAAGATTTTTTGAAAATTTATGCGTTATTATTAGATTTCTTTTCTACTTGAAAAAAATGAATTGTCGAATTTTTAGCTGGACTCAAAGCTGTTTGAAATAATATGGTTTCTAGGGCCTTGTTTTTAGGTATCCGTCGGTCTAAGATGCTAGCCTATTTAAAAGGCTTTTTAGTAAATATAAAAAATCGAAGAATTTTGAGTCTAATTTCAATATTTTTAGCTCAAAAATCGAGAAAAGCGACCAAGAATCGTTTTTTAAGCTATAAAATCATTCAATTTCAGTGAAGTAAATTTTTTGATTGGGATTTTAAAGCTAGAGAACGAAAATCAAAAATTAAAGTTTTTTGCTCGAAAATCGACAAATTTAAGCAGAAAAATTGCAAGAATTTTCATCTGAAAAATGAAGAAGTTTGAAGCGAAAATTGGAAAATTTTCGGCTGAAACTCGATGAATTCCAGCTGAAAAAATAGGCATTTTTAGAGCTTAAAAAATCATATTTATTATGTGATTTCATAAATAATTGAAAAAATTCAACAGAAAGTCTTGGGGGCTTTTCGACTAGAAAATTATACAAAAAATTCGTTTTTTTCTACCTAAAAATCATTAATTTCTAAGAAGACATTCGTTTCATCGTTGCAATTTTCAAATTAATTTTTTTTGCTTTTTTAACTGAAAATTTGCATTTTTCAGCGGAAAATTCGTAATTTTAGATTTGTTTTTTCTTTGAAAATCACAAAATTGGGAATTTTTAGCTCAAAAACCGAAGAATTTCAGCAGATATTTAATTTTTTCACCCAAAAAAAGGAAACATGTGCTATTTTTCGGTTTTTGGCTTTGGGATTTTGTGAATTTTTAAGAATTTGAGTTTTTAGAATGGAAATGTGGTAAAATTGAAGCAAAAATTAAGATTTTCAGGCTAATTTTTGACTTTTTAGCTAGATTTTTCAGCTCGGTTTCTTATTAGCCCACTTAATATTTTTAGAGGTTTTTTCCTAAGCCTGTATTTTAATCGGCATATTTAGGATGCTAGGCCTATTTTCAAGGGCTAAGCCTATTTTTTATTTGCTGAAAGTACTTTTAAGAGCTAAAATGACTTCACGGTGGCTAAGGTACAAAGTGTTCGCCAATTTAGTCATCACATTTTTCCGGAAGTTTTTGAAAGGGTTAAATTAGCCCGACTAATCAGACTTCTGGGGGACGTGGTTTTTGTTTTTGGGAAGATATCTGCTCTTTGTGTTTGTTGTAATACTGTGTATTATCTGTCATGTTTTCAATAAATCAAATAAAAAGTCCTCATCAAAAGGAGAACAATTCGTGTGGGGGGAGGGGAATACATTTGAAACTATTTTTCCATTCGAAATCGTATTGTGGATCCACGTGAAAATTTTTTTCTGCAATTTCTTTCCAAGTGATGAAAATCTCTTCCCCGTGAACTAATATCACGGGGGAAAAGCAACAAAAAAAAGCAACAGAAAAAATGCTCTTCCAAGTAGGAATACGCACTCTCCTCCTTGGAAAACCATTTTCAAAATGATCAGAAGCTGGACAGCCGAGCTCCAGACTCCTGAAAATTGTCAAAATGGCCGAAAATCTGCTGTAGAATACGTTATTATAAATTTTCTTAAAGTTGTACTGTATTTCGAACAATTTTGAATTAATACTATTGGTTCACAAAGCTCTCTACACAAAGCTATGATACTTGAGTCAACTTACTTGACCTTTTTTTCAAAAAAGTCAGAAAAAGGTTTCTACAGTCCGTTTCACATTTATACGGTCACC